TAATTTTAAATTGAGATTATGAACATATTTTATGCAGGTTAATATATCCTTTTCATGTAAAATTTAGCTGAAACCAGTTCTAGCACATTAACGACAACAAGAGAAATTCGCTGGCTTATTATAAACATCCTTCAAGAAACCTGAAAAGCGTGTCCTCTGGAAATAATTTTGTTGGGATCTGGAATATTATTAAAATCCTCTCAGAATTCTACCACTCGTGCCCAATGGGCCTCAGAGCCCTTTTTTTACTGCTGATCAGAGGAAACATCCCTTTGGCCTTGGCACTATGTTCTGCATGGTGAAAACAGGGCTGGAGGCAGGGGTTAGGTAAGCCACAGGGGCCCTGGCCCTGGCTGATCATGATTTTCAACCAGGCAGAGAGGAGCCGACTTCTTTTGGAATGAATGACTGTTTTCTCATCACTGAGCATTCTGAGTTTACCAAAGTCAATGGAATGGGTAAAGCCACTGCCAGACTACTGATATAATATGTATTTAGTGGCCAGAACATACAAAACACCCCCGCCCAGTGAACGTGAGTACCAGTGGGCACGCCTGCATGCCAGTCAAATATATCCAACAAGATCCAAAATTAAAATTGTGGGTGGACTCAGATTCATGGAGGAGTGTGAGCTAGGAGCAGGGAGCCTCAAGGACAACCTTGTGGGGAGCAAACCATAGCTCTGTGGGAGGATGAGGAGAGCAGCAGCAAATGCAGGGCAGAGAGCCTGGTGAGAGAGCCCAGACCAAACAGGGTCTTAGTGTTCCTAGCGGTGGGGTTGGGACGGGACCTAGGAAGCGGTGACAGATGATGATGGCCCTGTGCCCTCCCACTCACAGGAAGCCATGTTTCATGCCAGAGGCAAGGGGGAGCCATCGGAATATTCTAGTCAGGGAAATGACAGGGTTGGAGCAGTTTGAGGAAAGCCCCAGGCAGCAATGCAGTGGATGGATCGGAGGGAGTGAGACAGGCTCCGTGAGGTCCACTGGGAAACTCGTGGTAATTAAGCCCACTGTGTTCCTGGTTTTTCTGTCTTCCAGCTCTTGCTCACAAGAACTCATTTTCTCTTTGGAGAGTAAGGGTGGCCTGACCCTTCAGCAACCCTGGCACAGGGGCTTAATTACAGAGAGGAAGGTCTCGTGGGCGAATGTAGAGGAGGACCGGATGCTGACTGGGGCAGAGTGGACATCAAATCCATTTAACCCTAAGAATGATTCTCACTTTGTTTCTCATTAATTTGTGGTGCTGCTAACTCCCCCCCCTTCCTGATGCTTTTTTTCTCTTTAAACTTGCTTTGCTTTCACATCAGATACTATCACACACACACACACACACACACACACACACACACACACACACACACTCAGCCTCTAAATCAATAAACTGGACTAATGCAAAAAAAAGCCAGACACACTTCTGTAGCTCTCCGATTACCCTGAAACAAAGAAGTAGTTACGGTTTTTCCTGAAAGTGTGGGAATTGTTTCCACAGATTTCCAAGGCAATGCCAAGAGGGTACTTGACCAGGACGAGGATACTGGAGGTGTGGGGGGAGCCCAGAGGTTTCAGGGAGCTTTGGAGTCTGTAACCCAACTTACAAAACAAGCAAGCAAGCAAACAAACAAACTGGTGCATCTGTTTCCAGAATGTCCTGAGAGCCTAGGGTTTTGGTGTTTGTTTGTTTGCTTGTTTTCTTTTGATCTTACTGTGTTGTGCTGGTAAGGAGACTGGGGACCTAGGCCTGCTAGGTCGGTGCTCCAGGCCACACTTTCACTTCTCTGAGTGTGTTCTCTCACTCTGACTGTCAGTGTCAGGGTGAAGGCTCACTGCAAATGTGTGCAGACTCACTAGCCAACCTGTGCTGTCAGACAGCCAGGAAGAAGCGGTGTGATGGGGACTCCTGCCTGGTTAGCAGAGCTTGGAAACAGATTGCCGAGTTTGGTGTTGTTTAAATAAGGGATGGGGAGTACAGTTTTGCTACCTTGACTATAAAATGCCTCTCTGTAGTTTTTTTTTCTTGTTTATCATTTACAAAAATAACAACAAAAACTTTGCAAATACAGTCAATCTCTAAATTATGCATTTCTCATAAACTATCCTGTTTTCTTAGAAACATTAAGAGCTGGAGGGGACAGGAACTCCACAAGGAGAGCAACAGAACAAGATAATTTGAACACAGGGAACTTCCCAGAAAATCATACTCCAACCAAGGACTATTTGTGGAGATGACCTGGAACCCCTGCACAGGTGTAGCCCATGGCAGTTCAGTGTCCAAGTGGGTTACATAGTAATGGGAAGAGGGACTGCCTCTGACATAATCTGATTGGCCTGCTCGTTGATCACTGCCCCCTGAGGTGGGAGCAGCCTTACCAGGCCACAGAAGACAATGCAGCCACTTTTGATGAGAACTGATAGACTAAGATCAGAAAGGGGAGGAGAATCTCCCCTATCAGTGGACTTGGGGAGTGGTATGCATGCAGAAAGGGGAGGGAGGGTGGGATCGGGAGGGGAGGAGGGAGGGGCTTATGGGGGGATACAAAATGAATAAAGTGTAATTAATAAAAAATTTTAAAAAAAAGGATATTGCAACCTCCTAATCTCTGAGTCTTGCAAACACTAAGAATCATGTGTGTCACCTGGTTGACCCTATAAATGTAGATAAGTGACAAGAATCATAAGACATCTAGAAGAGAAGCTGGTATACAGTAGGTGGTCAATAAGTGAGTGGCCAGCCTTAGCTCTTCTTCTCAAAGGAGAGGGTAAGTGAGTTTCTAGGAAGAAGGGTTGTAGGGTACTGTAGCCTAGGACCTGGCCAGGATGCACCATTTTACAGAGTATGGCAAACTGAACAGCAATAAATTTAAATACCTAACTGGTAGGAATATATACATACACACATACATATTCATAAATACATACATACCTACTCACACATACACATTATGTAATATAGATACATATATATTATATATAGTGTGTGAGTGTGTGCTTGTGTGTGTCCAAGTTATTATCTAAATTATCCATTAAGGTCTGTCTGAGTCAACAAGTAGCTATTGACTTGAGTTTCAGCTACCATCAAGACTTATTGATCTGAGAAATAAATATTGATCAAATTGAGACTGAGGTCAATGGGGCAATAAATTTTAATATTCATCCAACTCTGCGCATACAGGCCTAATAATTTTGGATCTAAAATATTGGTTACACATAGGCCTGATTGGGGTCAGCTCTCTCTTCTTCTTCTTCTTCTTCTTCTTCTTCTTCTTCTTCTTCTTCTTCTTCTTCTTCTTCTTCTTCTCCTCCTCCTCCTCCTCCTCCTCCTCCTCCTCCTCCTCCTCCTCCTTTTCCTCCTTTTTCTGTGAGTTGTTATTGGTGGAAACTAGCATCAAAATTAACTTGATTCTATGAGACTTTGGTATAAACCTTTTAACTTCTTTACATCCTAAATGACTGAAATATAATTTTGTATTTAAAGAATTATTACTATTAAGGACTCTCTCACTGAAGCTAAAGAGATGGCTCAGAGGTTAGGAGCACCTGTCCCCCTTGCAGGGAACCCAGTTTCAGTTTGCAGCATCACATGGTAGCTCACAATCATCTGCCACTCTAGCGGCAGGGGATCTGATAGACACTCTGACCTCCACAGGTAACATGCACGCGCACACACACACACACACACACACACACACACACATACACACAGAGAGAGAGAGAGATACATAAAATAAAATAAAATAAAATAAAATAAAATAAAATGGGAGAACAATTTAATTAAACCAGCAATAATTTTGAGATATGAATAACCACTTTGATCTACTTTTTGTGAAAAGAGCTTCCTCTGCTGAGCTTTTACTAATATTTTATTTCATAGCTTACTTTACATCTTTTCATATTCACATAGAATATTTTTTCTATAATTTTTACGTCAATAAAGAAGCCTTAGGGATGGAGAGATGGCTTAGCAGTTAAGAGCACTGGCTGCTCTTCCCGGGTCCCTTGGGTACAATTCCCAGAACCTACAAGACAGTGCACAACCACCTGTAACTCTAGTTCCAAGGGATTGGGCTCCCTCTTCTTGTCTCCTTGGGCACTGCATGCATGTGGTGGACAGACAGATGCAGGCAAAACACCCATACACTAAAATAATTTTTTTAAACACATATAAAGAAATCTTTATGTGAAATGCTTGTTGAAATAAGTTTTATTTTTAATTTCTTGTGTCCATCCATTTGAAAATCTTAAAGGGAAAATTCCAGAATTAAATACGTTGTAGGTTTTTAAATAATTGTTTTTAAATAAATCTTACTACAGCATGTTATAATTGCTCCATGCTAGATGAAGCATTGCTACTTTCCTGTGTCTACTTTTAGAAATTAAACACTATCAGGGTTGTGTGTGAAGAAAATGGAGTATGAATTTGTAGGGCTCGACACGACCTATAGTTTCAGGCATCTAATGTGGGTGAAAAGATGTATCTAAAGTGGGCAACCAGCAGAAATGCTATCTGGGCCTACACTGATGTTAACACCTTGAGCAAACACCCCAGCTACAGAAGATGTCAACAGTAGAAGGTGAAGGACATAGCAAAACTCTGACAGCTCACAGATGACTTCTGTAAATTTAAAGTTGCTTCAAAATAAAAAGATTTGACATATTTTTTTTCTGGGAAAGATCCTCAGTAACCTCTCTGAGGGAGTTATCTGGTAAATTGACGCAAGCAGGTCCACTCTCTGTTTTATACCCTTCTGATTCTGACGTGTTTGCTCTTGTTCTCAAAAGGCAGCGTGTATAGTGAAAGATAATTCCATTTGAATTTTCTTGAAAGGTCACTATGAGAAATGAAGGTGGAGAAAAACTGACTCAAAATCTGATCTGAGAAGAGAGGATGCCTTTGGGAACAGAGGTAACAGAACTTTAAACATGTTTAGAGTCGGTGGATGTTTGGCCCTTGCACTGTTTCTTGTGTTAGAGGGACCACAACAACTGAGAGCAGTTACTCACCAGGGCGACTTTCCTCTGTGGCTTCAGCAGCTTTGGTTTGTGGAAAGTGGTGACTATCGGAGCTGTGGAAGGACACCAAGTTTTAGTGTGAAATTCCTCTAAGGCCTCCTAATGCCCACCTTCTGTGGGCCTCACGGACACCCTGTGTGCAGACTGGAAGAGCCTTCTCGCTCTGAGGAAGGGCTCAAGCTTCTGGAGCAGGTATCCTTGGGTACCACTAAGTGAAGGATAATCATTCCCTTATCTTTAGGTATGTCACTGCCTCCCTTAGCTATGTATTAGTCACTGCTACTTGCACAGAAGTCAAATGTCTGGGAGACAACCAGGAGCCCTTGGTTGAGGTTGAGGTAGGACTTTTCCTGGAGACCCTAAGGACAATGGCTGACCCTCACCCTGCCCTGTGAATTCAAGGAGGGGCTTGACAGTTTAACAGAAGCAAGCTGAGGCTCTCTTTTCAGTGTCATAACTAGTCTTGACTGACTTGATTTGAGCTTGGAGTTGAACCCAGTTCTGAGACTTAGTTCTCCAAGTGCTATTTGTTTCTTTGTACCTAGGATGGTATCTACTCTGCATTGACTGACACAGTATAGAGGCATAGACCCTGGCTGAGAGCGGTTCATCTCTGCACCATCCCTCCCAAGGTCTCACACCACCCAACTTTCCTTCTTGACTCTCAGCTATGCCTCTTCTGGCTTCTTGCGCAAGGCTCAGTGAGCTACCGATACAATACACATAAGGGATACAATGCATCTTGTCATGTTAAGGTTCTCTCATATCTCTATATTTCAAATTTGTTGAGGGATCAACATCTAGATAGGCCCATCTATCTATCTAAATAGGGTTTACCTGAAGACGTTTTGGTTCTGCTAAGATTCATGCCTTTTTTCCTTTAAGAAACCCACATCTTGCTCATTCCTATTGCTCTAAATAAAAACACCAATCACAGAATAACCAATCTCAGACTGTGAATTTTGTCAGCAGAGTAAGTCTGAAATGTACTTGCATACATCTTTAAAATCCCAGAGGCATTCTTTCTCTTTAAGAATCACTATGACATAGCCAGCCCCTGCCTCACTTCACCATTTAAGATCCACAGTAAATTCAGGATGGCCTTTCCTGTGTATGTTGACTTATCTCGATGCCAATGGCCAAACCTATCTGTTGCCCACCTCGTCCCAGTTTGTTATGTCTAGAATCTAGGTGGGACTGTTTAAACCACAGCAGCACTGAATGGCAAGGCTCCATCCATCTAGCCCTCTGTCCTGGTTCCCCACTTGACTCCTGGTCCAGGCCTGCAACAATCACAGTGGTTTCCACTTAGGAAATCGCAGGTCGGTCTTACCTTTGGCAGGGACTGCAGGTGGAACATCTGCCCTCTCCTTCCGCCTCTTGCCCTTCTGTGGCTGCAGTGGGGCCAAGCTGGTCACGCTGGTGACAGTTTCCCCTGAGCTGTAGAAGAAAAAGGCCCAGATGAAGCCAAAGTCTATTCATTGCTGAAAACTATAACAGAAAGGAACCAGTGGCTCTCAGGAGCTTTTGAAGGCTCCCTAAGCAAGTGTTCAAAGAAAGGCCACCTCACAGAGACAGGGAGTGGTCTACGCTGTCTCCAAAGATGCCAGCAAGTTTGCCATTCCACCTTGACCACGATAAAGATGATGAAGTGATCTAGTTTGAGACTTAGGATGATGTGCTGCTCAAAATTCAAATTCCCTGGAGGAACCAAGGACCAGCTTGCTCACATTATTTAGAAACTGACTGCTTGTACCTACATTAACTGGGCACAGTCCATCTTGGCTACTACCCATGTGATTGGCCACCAATGATGTCACCAAAAATGTACATATACTTGAAATAGCTCTCCTAAAGCCAACAGGTTTTGTCCATGTGTTTATCTTCCACAATTCCAAATCCAAGTGCCTCTCAACCAAATAAAAAGGGACTCAAGGGAGCTGTACCTGGCAGGCTTCAGGGTCCGCTATAAGTACAAGGAGCTGGCCTATAAGACGCCTTCACGTTTAGGACAGGCATGCTTCCAGTCAGCTGATCCTGTGGGGCCACCCGGTATCTGTTTCCCTCTATGTGATGTCCATGATAAAGCAATGTGATGTGAATGACAAGCCTTGTATTAAAGAAAGCCAAGGCCCATGGACCTAACCTGTTAATAAGCACTGAAGGTGTGAGCTAAGCTATTCTTGCCTCTTACATTAGTCACTTATCTTTCTGCTGATGAAGGCAATACAAGGAAGAAAGGGTTCAGTTTGGTTACCAGTTGGAGGCCCTCGTCCTTGTGGCTGGGAAGTCGTGGCAGCATCAGTGTGACGCAGCTGGGCACACTGCATCCATAGTCAGGAAGCAGAGAGGGCTGGATGCTGGGTGTTCAGCTTATATTCTCTATTCATTCGGTCCAACACGCTAGCCCGTAGGATGGTGCGGCCACACTCAAGATGAATTGCCACCTCAGCTAAAGGTCTCCACAGACATGTCAGAGGCATGCTTCTTTGTTGATTCTGAATCCCCCAAGTTGACAATGAAGGGTATCTATCACAGCCTCCTGTCTTCTGACCTCGTCTGCATGTGTTGAGGTTCAGAGACGTCTCCGAATGTCCATTCAGTCTTATTTCCAAGCTTTCCTATTGGCTCCAGCAACTCACAAGGAAGCTCCCTGTAGAATCTTCTGTTCCCAGGAACAGGATGAACTTTGCTAGATATGGTTCCCAAGAGAGTCTGTCTCCCCAGGCCATGGATCATCTCTGAGGTGTGGAATACCTCGATCAATGGCCCAATCATCAAAACAAAGAGTCAGGAGAAGGGTAATTAGCGTCCCTCAGAGCCTCACATATGTAAACATGCTAAATTCCTCACGACAAGGTAAAAAGAGGGCACTTTCTTTCCTTTCCTCCCAGAATGGCAACAATCAGATCTGAGTTGGCATTCTTGGCAAGCACGCCGATCTTCTCCAAGAACAGACCTTCCCTGATGAAAAACAACTTGGCAACATCTACCAAAATGACAGAGCATTGGACTCTTTGGCACAGCAGTCTCACTTCTGAAAATTCCTTGCACGAACATCACTGTGTGTGCATGAAACGGTATGTGCTTATAGCACTGTGCAAAATTCAAGTGGATGTCAGAAGAACCCAACACCCACCAATAGCCAGCTAAGTAAATTCTGGTTATTCTTACACTGGGTCTGCGATAAGGCATAAAGCAGTGACCTTTGCACTGATGGATTGTTAAGAGAAAATTCCAGGTTTTAGATACACGCTAAGAGAAAAATCTACTGTGAAACACCCCACACTTCATATAAAAACAGGAGAGACAGGATAAAAAAAACTAGAACGAGCTTACCTATGTGTAAAGAAACTTTAGAAATAGTCAAGGGTCTTGACAAGAGGGATGCTGGGAAAATTATACAGATTGGAGCCAGGACAGAGCTGCTGGATACATCTACAATTGTGCAAAATAAATGTGCACATATGGTTACAGGCTATTGCAATGATCTCCCTAAATACTTGGGAACAAATAAGTGAAGACTCACACAGTGTGGGAAAAAGTCCAAGTGTTTTTACTAAGATTCCCCAAGGACGGCTTATTTTCTTTGGAAGCGAATAGGCTAAGTGGTCATAGCTCTCAAGTGCAGGGCCCACTGTGTAAACTCACAAATAGCTAAAAGGAATGTGAATTTACAAAACTCTGACCACCAAGAGCAAACAAGGGATTGCTTAAACAGACAAACACACAAACAGCTTGGTTCTGTCGCCTTTTAAACTCTTGACATGTTTATTTTTTTTTTCTTTTCAAATAAAATCGGTCAGGTTCGTGGATTAAATGGTAATTATAGGAATGGAAATGAAAGAAAATAAGCCTGTCATGACCAAAACATGAATTTTGTAAATATTTCCACAACCTTCTTTCCTTCTAAAAAAAAAAAAACAAACAAACCACCATCAACAAAAAACCCAACTATTTTTAGAGCAGTTTTAGGTTCACAGAAGAGTTGAGAAGGGACCAAGATTTTTTTTTCCCCAGCACTCCCATGCTCTACACAGGCCCAGCTTTCTCCATTTATCAATTCCTCCCACCAAAATAATTTATCAGTTAACTACTGGAGATCCTATGCAGACTCCTCAGGAATATGCCCAGTCTACGGGCAACATTAGAGTTCACTCTCACGTGTTAGGGGTTTGGACAAATACAGTATTGTGTCTGCAGGATTATAAAATTATACAGAGAAGCTTTGCAGTGCTAAGAGTCTTCTGTGCTTTGCCTGTTTGCACCCTCCAGGTTCCGGAAACCACTGATCTTTGCTCTGACTGGCTCATCTTCTGCCAGTTCCAGGACATTGTAGGCTTGGAAGCATGCTATATGTAATCTGTTCATACTGGCTCTTTTTAACTTGACAGCAGACATTTAAAGTTTCTTTCTCCGTCTTTTCCTGGTTTGGTGGCTCATTTTTTTTAATAGCATCAAATAATATTCCATTGGCTGGCTGTCATATAGTTTATTCATCTAGTCACCTAAATACTGATTGTTCCTCAATTTGGGGAATTAGGAATGAAGCTGACATGAACAGGTTTTTATATGACTGAAAGATTTAACACTATATTTTATACATCTTTTTTAAAGTGTTAAATTTGAATACGACACCTTTATTTTTATTTGGTCTATATTTTTCAAACTTGTACACTTTTCCAATGAGAAGATAAGGTATAGTTTCATAGCCATTCTCTAGTATGTGCACAACTGATTCGCGTCTAGTATATTTGTCAGGACAGTTTCCCATTCTTAAGCTTTCACTTCTTAAGGTTGAACCTGAGAACTAGAATTACCAAGTCAGAGAGGACCCTCTTCAAGGCTGTTGTCAGAGCAATTGCCAACAAGCTCGTGCCACTTTATGGCTGTCTTGTCAGTGAAGAACTGTACCCATGCCACTGTCCTTCCCATTAAGTTTATCAGTCAAAGAAGGATTTGGGATGTAAAGTGAATATGTAAATTAAAAAGGGTTTTTTTTGTTTTGTTTTGTTTTTATAAAGAAGAAACATATGACCCTCTTTTCTTGCACGTCTTTGATTGCCGCAGAGGATGGTAATGGCCTGTGTCTGCCTGCCGGCTTCCTCATTCTTCCTATTGACTCGAGGCCTTACACTTTTCTTATAGGTTTGCATAGATCTCTTCCACCAAGCTGACACATTTATTGCAAATATTTTTCCCATCCCCATTTAAGCCTGGACTTATACTAAGTGCACAGGCTTCTTCCGTTTCTGCGGAAGTCTTTGATAGTCTTCTTTCTTTGTGCTTCTGAACTTGATAGTACCCCCAGTATATCTCACACACTGGAGAATTACATGTTTCCACTTTCTCTGCTTTGCGCTTGGACCTAATCCTTTAGCTCTTTCATACACGGTGGAAGTTTCTGGAACATCATCTCTCTGAACATAATGCCACTATGCCCAGGAGTTTCAGAAGGCTGAAAAAGATCTGTCTTGTTATCACCATTTCCCTCCAAAACAGTAAGGCTTAGTGCCACTAAATTTAGCTCTAATTCATAGTTCAGCAAGACTTCAAGTACACAATGAGTCACCACGGTGACGTGTGGTCCATGCTTTCCTCTCCAAATTCCATTTTCCCATAGAGCCAAGCTTTGGAAAGGTTTTCCAACTAAGAAAACCCACCTTATGATTAACTTACAAGAAAAGTTATGCTACATCTTGAATCAGAACAGGGTTATAGTTTGTCTTTGACACAGAATGCGAGTGTTGTTGGTGGCAGTCAAAACAAAAAAAAAGATGGAAAAACAGGCCTGGAAACTCCCTCTAAATTAGAGAGCGGTGCAATCAGAGAGATGTGCTGTTTGCGGGGAGCTTGTTGTTGAATGGGGCTGTTTCTGGCTCCCGCATGGGCAAGGCAGGAGACGGCACATGTGGTAATGGGTCTCTTGTAAGAAGTAACATAGTCCCTCCCTGATCACTTCCTAAAGTCCCCGAAGACCCCACAAGGCCTCAGGACCACTGCTCTAAAACCAGCAGAAGCTTGACTTAGTGAACAGATGTTGGAAGTGGGACAACAGATGAGACTGAAGCTGCAGAGGTTGTTCTAGGTAAGTCATTCGTGTCCATGGGCTTCCAACCTTTAGTCGGTAAGTTGGGTGACTGGCCTTGCTAGCTATCTCACGGAGCTCCTGTGATGTCAGATGGAATAGTGTGGATTCAATAAGATAGGACATTGTATCAATTTCTTTTCTAGTTGTGACAGAAATTTGAAAGAAGGGGGATTTGTTTTGACTCAAGGAGCCAAACAGTCCACCCCAAATGGGCCAGGAAGCAGGGGTAAGGGATGGGGGTGGCTGTGCTCAGCTCTCCTTTGCTCCTTTTTATTCAGTCCAGAACCCCAGACCATAGGATGGTGATGTGCACACTCATGACCAGTCTTTCCCCTCAGATAGGCACCCC